GGAGGTATCTGAAAACAACAAGCAAGGTGATCTGAATCAGCACAATCAGTCCAAAGAGCACACGAGCCTGAAAAGACAGTTTTGACTCTAAGCCAGCTGTGGAGTAGTAGCAGCCTTGGAACATTCCTTATGGACATTGATAGAATGGTACAAAGATTTCTAACTGAAACACATATTCAAAGCTTCATGGTGTCATTGAAATGAGGAGTAAAAAGAAACTTAAGAGTTTCTAAGTTACTGAACTTGTATCATACTGACTTGAATTCAGTTGAATGGCTGAAAGTGATAGACCTGAGTCTTTAAAAAAATGGGGGTAGTAAAACACATCAATTGAAAAAGTGCAAATCCACCTCCTAGGCAAGACATTTTCTAAGTGCTGAAGAGAACTACGGTTCAAGACAGTGTAGAACATCTGTTATTGATTAACAAAACTCATAACTTTGAGCCAATAGTAATATGAATACAGTCACGTGGACTCTCATGTTGCTCTAAAAGTGCACCTAAACTATTATGACATGCATTCTTTGCATGTACTGAGCTGTAACACATCTGGATATGACCTGGAACTTACTGAAGTCGACAGGAATTTTGCCTTCCTCTTTGCTGGAGCTAGCTATAATGTCAGCAGCTGGTGGTGAGAATATTTCCACCATTCTTGCCAGAACACATATTGCAACAGATCACAGTAAATTTTTTTTTAAATAATGTTTCCTTTTCCTACCATGTCCAGTAGCTTCTTTTCAATTTCTTGCTTGCACAAAATGTGGGTATACCTATGCCCAAAAATGGAAATTGTGAACTAAATCCAGGAGGTCAACTGTTTGCATGAACCACTGCTGTACATTCATGGTTGAATCATGCAACTTGAGAAACTCGAAGTATTTTGGAATTCCAATGGAGTCATATCTGGAAAAAGTGAACTGCATTCAAGTCTACCAGGAATTAGGAAAATGCCTACTGCAGCTCTGGGAAGCCAAAATGGAATGACAGCTGTTTTGATGAAAGTACTTACTAGAACATAGTGGTCAGTGAGAAGAATCACAGATGGCCAAAAGTCAAATCTAAGAGAAAGGTTTTCTTCCATAGCAAATATATGGCCCCGCGTGCCAATTCTTCCTGAAGCATCCTACATTGATATAAAGTAAGAGAACAATCAGATACCAGTAGCACACAAAATAACAAGTTCCTTATTATCACTGCAGCTTTTCTAGAAAGATCCAGTTGATGCATGCATGTCTAGCATGCTGCTGTATTAAATACTTCTACCTACAAATGATTACTTGCTGTCAATTTTGCAGTTTCAAGTAACTTGGTGATTATAAGATCAGAGTCTGAAAGTGCTACCATATGAACGAGAACTTGTCAGAGACTCAGTAACTTGTGGAAGACAGTGGCTGTTTACTGGTCCCACCACCAATTTTTTTCTGAAAATTCAATTCTAGGTAATAGCCCATATAAAAATATTTTGAAGCTTCATTGTGCTTTGTTTCTGGTGTATTTGCCACAAACCAGTATTGATAAACAATAACAGCCTTCATTTATTCAACAGTTTGATATTTCTGCATATGTAACTGACATCTGTGGCGGGTTGACCCTGGCTGGGTGCCAGGTGCCTACCAAAGCTGCTCCGTAACTCCCCTTCCTCAGCTGGGCAAGGGAAAGAAAACTTAATGAAAGGCTCATGAGTCGAGATCAGGATGGGGAGAGATCACTCAGCAATTGCCATCATGGGCAAAACAGACTCTTAATTGCAGAAACTAGCTTAATTCATTATCCATTAGTGTAGAACAAAGAGAAGTTCCTAGTTATGTGACATAGAAAGGTGATGGAGAAGCCATCACAACAACAACAAAAAATTTAATACAAAGAATACAACCTCACCTGGACAGTCACATCTATGTGATGGAACCCTTCACTGTAGTTTTGTGGGCTCCACTTCAGCACATAGAGAGGACCAGACACCTGATGAGCATTCCCCAAGTGAACTCTGTCTACGTAGACTTTGATGGAGACAATGACAGAAGGAGAGAATGCCAGAATTCTAAGAAGTGAATAAAGAGCAAAATAAACAGATTTGTTACAGGACTTGCAGACTTCTCATTGCTTCCTTAAGAGAAGTCCCTAAAGATTTAGTACCTTGTATTAAAGAGTTCAAAAGATTTAGAAATTAAAACGGTGAAGTATCTGTAGGCTAATGGTAACATGGTAGTAGCTCTTTCCTACAGTTAAAAAATATAGTTCTGTATGGCACTGCACAAAAGAACAGGATAGAAAACTGGCTGTGGAACACACAAAAAAGTGGCAGAGATCATAAGGTCCTGCAGAAATAATCTTAGAACCCTTGCTTTCAAAACATTTGCTAACACAAATGGGATGCATCCCCCTGCACATATAGACACAATCAAACACTTATAGATGGCTTCATTAAAAATTGCCAGTCTCTCTCTCTAAAGTCCTTTTTTATTTGGTGTGGGTTTTTTCTTCTTCTTTTTGTCTCTTTGCTAGTCAGAATATAACTTCTCAGTCTTTTTAACCACATTTATGAGACATAGAGTGGAACGCAAGACTGGTATTACAGATCTCAGACACCAACAGATGTATTATCACTTGGCAGTGCTTATATTCAGAGAATCAGTCATGCTAATGTAGACTCAAACTATTACACATATAATTTCTTTCATTTCTGGTAATACAAAAGGCATTCCAGTTTCAGTCAAATAAAGGAGTCTCATATAGTTATGGTGAACTATTCTACTAGTTCATATATTTAATATAATCATAGGAATGTTGAGATAAGGTTCTGAATAGGCAACTGGAAAGAAAGACACTTACTGGACACTACTTCTTAAATGAAAAGTATGACAAACTTTTTTTGATTGTAATTCTGTGTATGTAATACTTCAAGCATATTGGTCTGACAGTAAATACAAAATGTTGAAAAGGGCCAAGAAATTTGACATATAAATGCAAAAATTAAATAGAAGAGGAAATGGAAAGATGGAGAGATTTAAAACCAATATGAAAATTGGAAAATCAGAAGCTTCTTATGTTTCAATATATAAAGGATGTAAAACTAAAACACAAGAGGCTAAGAAGTCTGAAGTGAATAGAGAAAACATTTAGAAAAATACATAGACAAAATCCTGAAATTGGCAGAGGCAACATGAACACATGATATAAATAACACAGATTTAAACAACACAGATTACATATTAATCTAACTCTATCAGCTTTAGTTACATTAAAAAGTTCAATTGACTTGAGGGGAAATAACTGTATAAATAAACATGAATCATTTCTATACAATTTCTTTATCCCATATGTGATATGAAGAGATTTCTCAGGAATAATCTTCCAGAGAAAAGTGAATTCTGAGAACAGTGGACACACATTTAAAAGAAAGCTTTGTGCATATACATATACATGTAGTTAAATATTGTGAAATCAAGAGACTACAGGGTACCTGATATGAGTGGAATGAAGAATTTTGACTAGGGGTTCATGAGTAGAACTGCTGTAAAGGAAGGACTTGGGATTGGTGATGAGAACTACAGGCCATTCTTCAAAGTTAAGATCTGCAAAACTAAGGAGGTCATGGTCAAATGCAAGGAGCCGGTACCTATAATGAAAGGAAAAAAATTTGTTAATACAAATGAGCGTGCACAGCTCATTCCCATGCTTCTCAAGTTCCTAAACTGAACTTCTTTGATTTATTTTCCATTTATTCTCTTCTGTAGTTGATTCTATATCAACCAACTCTGCTGTGCAGCTGGTTACCTTTGATTAGGTTCATTTTATTATAAATCACGGAAGCAGTACTCAAAATTACAAGATCTATGGAATTTTTCACATGAATCAGATAGATGAACAATAAGTTAAATAACTCAAATACAATATACATTACTACAGTGTCTGTGCAGGTACTCTAGTTATGGACCAAGACCCCACTGTGCCCTTTCCCTGTATGCATACAAGTATCTTCTTTGGATTACTGCAGAATAAAAGCTAATAAACTACTATACACTCCATGTAGCATCAGATGTGTTTTGATATGCTGTTAAAGTAACATTTCTTATGTAGACTATTTATGCATCTAGAATTCTAACAGCTAGTGCAAAGCATGGGTATTTTGAAGTAGTAATGCTGAATTTTGTTACAATTTATTCATCTACATTTGAATATATTTTTGAATATACATTTGAACACACACACTAAATGGACATCTAGAGGTCCCCTTTTTAACTTCTATATATCAAGAATTAATAAAAAATGATGTACATTATTAGCACACTGTTAGTATGGGAAAAAAATCCCACACTTACACACAAAGACATTTTTCAAAAGCATTAATAGTAATAACCAGTCATTCTAATCTCATGCTCCTTTCAAATTCACCAGACAGCGTAAGAGGGAATTACAGTATAGCCATGTGGGCTTCATATAATAATTTGCTCGCATAGGCTTTACTTACCTTCTATTATCCATCCAGTCTCCCAGTTCGAGTTCCAGAGTGCCACCACGGTGTTGACTGTGCAACACTGGCATAAGCCCACCCATTGTATGGAGATGTCCACATAAATAGGCTGTGGCAGAACTAATAAAAGAATTGTGATTATTTGGGTGGGAAGGAAATACCATTACAGAAAATCTGAAAAGTGAGAGATAAGCATGTTAAGTGAGGCGAGAAATGTCCTTCAAATTGAAAACACACAGGATAAGAAGACTTTACCTCATTAATGTTCGTATTCCTGGGGCTGGGGAGATGATTGTTGAGGTGGGATAATGGCCAAACCAGATAGTATGGTTGCTGTGCAGACTTTCTGTTGCCATCAAAGATAGCTCTGCCATTTGATTCTGAAATGGACAGGTGTTTGAAAGACAACCAAACAAATCTGATTAACATTCAGGCTATTGTGGAAGAATAGCAAAAGGAAAGCAGAAAGAAACTAATGAAGAATGCAATTCATCTCTCTCTCTTTTTTTTTTTTCTTTCATTACAGAGAATACTCTCAGTTGAGTTGCTTTAGGGACCTGTATGTGAACAACTATACCACTAGATGTAACCCTAAAATCTGATGTTGGAAAAAGAAAATGAAAACCAGACACTCAATGTCTTCTTTGCAATTTAACACAGGAAAAATGAAATGTAAAGAAAGATGTTGGTAAACAATATTCCTATCCTTTCTAGTGCTTATTTATGTAGCAAAAGAGTTAATTTTACAAACATCTTTACCTTACAATTATCGTCCTTACTATTTCTTGAGTCGCTAGATGGCCTTGCATGACAGACCACAGAACCTGTGCACCACATGCTTCAGTCATTTAACTAAATGAACTCAGATGCTGAATCTTAAAAATATTACTCAGCCATTGCTGTTAAAGTTAAGCAAAAGTAACACTTTACACAGGAGGTAAAATTTCTCTCCTACTTGTTTGAATTCCAATGTTAAATCAACCACTTAATGTCCAGAGACCCTCCCAATACCAGTAAAGTCTCAAAATCTAATTTTTCTAAATAAATGTCCCACATTCATAATAATTTAAAAATGTAAACACTCTTTTAGACAAACATACATATTCAAAACAATTTTTCTATATAGAAACAAATAAAAATTCCAAACAAACCACTACAGAAGTAAAATAGCCAGCAAAATGGAATATCAAGACTTATACAATACCGTGTTTAAAATCCCAAAGAAATTATAGGGTCTCTTAGGGCCTGGGCTGAGTGTGGCATCCACACAGATGAACGAATAGTTCCCAAAAGAGGTAGTGTGGATGTAATGGAAAGAGCCATCTTTATGCCAGGCAGAGTATTTCCTAACAAAATAAAGTGGAAATATTGCTGTTAGGAAAGCCTGTAGCAATGACAACAGTGACCTGCATAGTATAAACGCAAGATGCCTTGCAAGCATTAGATCTAGCACCTTCTTGTTACTGCAGTAGTTTCTTAAAGTCAATGGCATTGAAAAACCTGAACTTCAAAGAAGATGCATTACATGGGTTATGTGTTAAGACAAGCAGCAAGTTAGCACACAAACATTTAAAAAAACGTTAGCACAAATATGCTTTCCCTGAGCAACACAGTACTTTTTTATGGATAAAGGATAGGCCAGCAGTGTACAACAAACAGGTGAGATGACAGAACAGCAGGATCTTACACAATTCTTAATTAAAGGAGAACTGCAAAGGAAAAATAAAAATTGTCCTGTGTTTATCATGGTATCCAAAAGAATTTTTCCTTGCTCACCTAGAGCATATCAGGGACATCAAGCCTCGTCTCCATTATTTCGTTAGAGATCTCCTAAGTTACTCTGATGTAGAATGATCAGCTCTTGGCTAATGGAATATGATATTGAAGCAAAGAAATGTTGAACTTTTTCAGTTATTTTCCAAAAGGTCGAAAACAGAGACACTACATTAAATCTTATAAATAGTAAAGAAGGCAGCATTTCTCTTTGCTGCTTCTTTTTTATTTCTTGATGTAGCAAATCTTACCAGTTCTCTTGGTAATGTCATTATCAGGTCTGTGGAATGTCATCAGCGTTCTTTGTTCAAAGAGTAAGACGAGAGCAGAAAAAGAGTTGCTATTCTTTTGCACTGAATATTACTGAATATTAATTGAACTCTCGAATCTTAGTCTTCAAATACTCTAAGAACTGTGAATAGGGGAGGACTTAAAAGACATGTCAACTATTTCCACCTTATTTTTTCCTCCTGTGCTTTTATCCTAATATTGGTTACAATAAACACATGTAATAACACATGTATATGTTTCTTTCTCTCCTTCCATTGACAACAGATAATTATGTATATGTTTCTTTCTCTCCTTCCATTGACAACAGATAATTTCAGTTTTTCTAACTTATAAAATTGAAGTGCTTTTGATACTTTATGCTAGATGGGAATTGCATACATCTTCTACTGGCAGAGACAGATAACATTCCAACGAATAGTAGCTACTAAATTGCTCTATTAAGAATTGAATTCTGTAACTAAAATAATCGTGTATAAATCTAAAATTAACTAAAACTCATTTGGTTCCATTGGGGGGGCATTTTTTAAAATTCTTTAGGGGTTTTCGGCTGGGCTTTCTTGTGTGGGTTTGGTTTTTGGCTTTTTTTTTAAAACTCCCTGCACGATATATGGAAGCTAAAACATTCCTGAGTTCAGATGATGAGTATAGTTTGAACATAGAAATCCAGAAAACAGTTCATAGCATTATTCCTCCACCAAACAGAATAAACAATAAAACTGCCTGAAAAGTTGTCCTGAATAAAATCAAAGCCAATATATTAAATGCAAGTTTTCAACATAAAGCAATACTTCTAATGCCATGGAAACCTTCTCACAATTTATTTTCTTGAAGTTATGGTTACCTTTATGAACATCACAAACTTCAATAAGAAAATGGGAAAGCTCAGTATCATAATCCTAAGATTTCTACCTTTAGTCCCTCTTAGAATATCTGTAACAGTTAAATCATCCTCTGATAATCCTGTGGCCATGAAATAGGAACCCATGGTTTTGTGTAAAAATACTGTTGTATATCAATACAACCTGCTGCCTTCTTTAATTTTAATACATAATGAACACCAGAATGTGGTGGTGAATAACTGCTTTTCCCAGCTTCTATTTTTATAATTTTAATATTTTCATATGATTTATATTTTTATATATTAAAAAACCCTCCATTTTAGTCTGCCATCTTCTCTCTCCTAGACCGAGACTAAACATTTTCTTAATATTTTTGTTCTAATTAAGTATTAGATTAACAAAATTATCCCTGTATGATGGTTCTGCCTTGAGTGATGCTTAATAGTTTTTGAGGACTTTTAGTGCCCTTCTTCGATCTTAGGTAGAAAGTATGATAAATCTCATTAAAGTTTCTTTATTTTGCTATGATAACAGACTATAATGGAGCAATGCCATCATAAAAACACATTAGTTTAGCAAGAGACTTAATTAATAAGCAAAGACTTTTTCACCTGACTAAGAATTTCACTCAGAAATTCCTAGGTTGTCTAAATTGCTTTGAAATTTCACCATAATCCTTTCCAATCCCTTTTGCTATCAGTACATCTTCAATGTGGATTAGAGGCAGGTGATCCATACATCTTCACAAAACAGCAGGCTTGTCCAGGACAAACAACAATTCAGGGATGATCCGGGAAATTGACTGGTGCAACATCTTCCCTTGTGTCTCACTAGGGATAAGGCTGCTTCTGATAGCAGCCTTAAACTAGAGTGGGAGACTGATACTAGATTGTCATGTAGCCACAACTTTGGCAAAAGACATAGGGATGTGCACTGCACTAGCACATACAAAAGACTTACTAGCACCAATCATCCCCTCCTGGTAAATGCCCATGTGAATTCCACGTTCTGCTGCAAATGCAGCTGCTATAGGATCCCGTACCATAGAATTTGTGGGAAAATGTGTCTGCTCCTGCTGGACCACAGGGAACTGAAGCAAGTAGAACTATCAGATGTTTGATCTGTGTTCGTTTTGCAAAGAGGATGGCTCAAGGGCCTGAGTTGAAGTAAAGTTTAGATTTCCAATTCCTCCTCCAGTTCCAAAGAGTCAAAATTGAAAGTGTCAACAATATTATGAGACAAGATTTTGTGTTCAGATGTGAAGGGCAGGAGAAACTGAGAAGTTAAACACAATTTACAACTGAGCCTACCTTTATATGTACAAGCAATAGAGCCAGCTGAAGAGGGGAAAATTTCCTCACCTATCTTCACATTTAAATCTCATATGAATATCCCTGAAGAATATCTGTCCTCCCATCATCATCTGCCTTCTTACTTCTCTACTTTCAGTCTTCTAAAATGACTCAGATGGGAAGAAACAGCTCAAATAAAATTAAGACCCATATGATATGAAAACCCCTTTGGGAATACAAAAAGAATATTAAAAAAAGAGAAGTTTTAGCTTGCTTTTTTTCCACCTATTTTAAGTAGGAAAAACATTCTCTGGGAACACCTTTTACAAAAATATATCACAACTTTTCTGAGGAAACTGAACACAATGCACAGAACGTTTTATAGACATGAACAGATTTAACCCATTCAGTGTTAAACACAGAAGGATAAGAGATAAGAAGTCTGCACAAAGAATTCTCTATTTTATCAACCTATTCTGCTCTACTAACTGACAATGCAAAAGACAGACGGAATAGCAGATATGATGCTGGACTATAGGAAAGTCAGTGAAAAACTATGATAACTGAAAGCAGAATATTGTTTAGTGAGTTTGACCTTGAATATAACGGCATCTGTATGGTAAATAAAAGTACCTGTAATAATTCTGAACGCTATCCAGGCGTGGAATGTTGAATGAATCTGTAAGGAAGAGAAAAAGGAAATGAGGAAACTTTCAGATCAAATTGATCATTGACCCACATATTTAACCTAGTAGTATTGAAATACAATGATCTCAGCAGGTGCTGAAGAGCTATTTTTTTTTAAATGCATAATGGACAAGCAGAGTGTCTAACTGCAGAGAAGACATTATACACTTGATGCAGTTGACCTAAAAGTGGCAATAGTTTTCTCATTAAAGTTTCAATTCAAAGATAAAGTTGTTGTGGGAATGTAAACTGTTATTTAGTGACTAACAGCTAAAGCTCTCTCCACTTTGACCACAGAGCTTTTCAGAAGCTTTTTAGTTTGGGTGAATTCTCTATAAGTAAGACCTAACTCATTCAGAGAAAATAAAGTAGCAACAGCATCAGAGAATAGCATGTGTAAATCAGACAGCAAGCAGGGGAGGTTTGTACTTCAACTGGGTTCCACTTCTCCATTAAGGCTGGTAACAGAAGCCTGATAGGGAAATCGGTATACATGACAAAGCATGTACTTTTTCCCATGCACCCAGTGCTAGGCTTTCTCGTTCTGCCCTTCCTGTAACAGCTGGTTTATGTAGCCTACATGGTTGTTAACTTGAGTTTGACTGATTAGAATGTGGCAACAACTGTGATGCATACAAACTGCCATTAGTCCTTCCTATTCAAAAGAACCCAAATTTTCTTTACCTGCTGGATTGTTATTGCTACCTTTTTAACTTAAACCTGGGGGCCGGGGAGGTGAGAAATCTATGAAAAGTAAATTGAAACAATTTCTTCAGTAGGGTAAGGTTACATTTTGCCCCTCCATTAAATAATGTGGTATATAAACTAATGACCTGGAAACTAACATCTGACATTATGTTCTACCACTTGCCAGGAAAAAGACTTACTTCTCTGGTAGTAAAACTCCAGTAAGTGCCTCTAAACAAAGTGTGCCCTCAGTAGACATGTGGATGGCAAGCCCTTCTCGATTCATAATTACCACTAACATACTAGTGATTACTAACACTTTACCTCTATATTCTGCAATCTGCAATCACAGTAAAGACAGATGTTTCATTGCCTTCTTACCATGATTCCCTTTGATGTCTATCCACTTGGTTTTTTCCATGACTCTTGATCTCTTCAGGATTGACTGGTAAGTTCTCCACTCTTCTTCTACCTGCTCAGACCCCAGTTTATCTCTTGTCTTAGCGTCTGTCAGGTCACCTGGAGGTGTACAAAGGTGAGATTATAACTAGAGGCCTACACAGCTTATACAACTACTGTAACTAGACGTGCATCCCTGCCTCCGAGTGTAAAAGGCTGCAGGCCTACTGAGTACAATCTGGATGTTCCTGTATCTGGTCCACGAGG